TACCTTGGTTACTCTGCAATAGTCACCTTGACTTCACTATGTATGTCTGTCTCCTATTGTTCATATCTTTGAAACTGGTATAATATTTAGCCATCTGAGTGGAGAAAAACACTTTGTTCTTCCCTTGCATGTATGTTATAACAGATGAGAACAAACTGGGAAAAGTACCTATTATTTTATTCTTCATTATTTCCAGGTTTTTCTCTAAAAATTCTCCTTTCTGCCTTCACACAGCTCTTGTTTTTTCTTATCAGTATTTCACTGTCAACTTATGTTCTTTTAGCCTTTTTCCTACTTTAAAACAGTAATGCCATATTTTATTGCTGCAAGTCAGAGCCCCAGCACTTAAGCTACTGCACCATGGACCCCAATCCGGTGTTTAAAGATGGGAATCTTTCCAAGAACATCCTTAGGCACTGGCACTGGATCAGACACTATGTGCAAGGACAGAGTTCTCATATCCGTAGGTTAACTTCTGAAAGAAAAGGCTCTATCCAGTGGGAGAGTTACTTACCAGGGTAATATTTTATGCATTGGGCTCCAGAGTGTCGCAAGATGACTTTAAGTATCACAGCAGACAGAGTAATTCCATATAATGAGTTAGTTCTTTAAACTGTTACCTCACTTAACACTGAACCAATTAGTCAGGACAAGAACAAAATTATAAAAAGGTACTGCTTTATGCACTGCTGTACCACAATGCATTACTGCGCACTCAAATTCCTTTTCTTACAAAGATGAGATCTCAAAAACCCAGAGTGCTTTACTTGCTTGCACTGCCCTTTTCTAATTGCTTACAATAGGAGCTGACTGGCAAGCAGTCAGGGAGGCACTGTTTTCACAGAAATTGGATATAAAAGATTCAGTAGCTGTGTAAATACATCATTTTTAGAAAAGGGTCCATCTATTAAAGTTATGGAGATGTAAGAGTGTTCTTTAATTATAATATCAACAAAAAAATAAAAAACCTGTTTCAGCTTCACCAGTCACTACTGTGGGCATGGTATGGCCAGAGGAAACATGGTCCAGAGCAAAACAAAACAGGTTGGTTCCAAAACTACTGCTTTTTAATACATGTTTAAATAATTAATTCCCTATTTTCTTATTTATTTTGAAAACATTTGAAAAAATATCCATGTAGAGATTGAGACTTGTTCTGGCCAGTGCTCGGCATTCAGATACTGGAGCTGTGAGTGTCAGCCTTATGCCAATCAACTTGCTCATCTCTCCTGGGTAGGACAGCATCCTTTTCTCTGTGTTGTGTCATAAAGATGGTGTAAGTGGGGAGGAGGAGAAAGGGGATGTCATTTCACAAATGATTCAGTTACAGTCTTTCTTCTCTTCCCACTTATTTCACTGAATATCTGACAATCAAGAAAGGTGCAATTATCTAAAGTGAAGAAATTGCAATATTAACAGAAATGCTGTTTTACCACAGAGATTAAACATGGAATTTCAAGGGCTTATTTGTCAATGTGTTGCTTGCACGTTACAGGTAATCTCTGAAAATCAGTAGAGTTATACTACTGGGAAAGACAGGGATTAATGAGATCCTGCCTCTGAGGGACATATTTCAGGTGAAAAGAAACAAAAGTAGAACAGACAAGTGGTAAGAGCCAATGAGACAAACTCTTAATTGTAACCACCATGAACTAATTCACAGAGGGGTTATAGGGCTAAATGAGATGCAGAAAAATGTTCTGGGATTTTATGCCCTTTTGTTTTGGAGTACGGAAAGAAAATGGCCAGTATACATGGTTGCCATAGTAATGTAAAGTGTTATTTAAAGTAGACTTCTAATGCTGGAAGCAATTGCATAGCCAAGGCTCTAAACAGCAGCACATTGTGCAAACAGGTCCTTCCATTCCCACTGTCCTTTGAAATTTCTGCTACAGAAATTTTACCACCCCTCTTTCCTCAGCCTATAGCTACTTTATGTCTCAACTTTTCCACACACCTCTCAATTTGTAGTGTTTCTACATTTTCATTTTCCTGCCTCTTGCCATCCAGGTTAATCCATGGGTATTTTCTTTCCCTTAACTCCACTATTATCTTACTGTTTCATTAGGTAAACTTTGCCTTTACTTTCACAGCCCCCAGCACTGTGACACCACAATGACTTTCAAAAAGTAATTCATTAGCAGCTCTCATAATAATAACTTTCAGTCAAGAATGACTAATTGTAGAGGATTGCCTTGATGGACACAGCAACCTGCAGCACATCCAGAATCAGTGGCTGCTGCAATGAAATCCCAGCCCTGTGTTTGGATATGTGACACTGTATTATAACAGATATTCAAATAACATTAATTTACTATTTTCCTAATCCTCCACTCCAGCATTCAGTCAGATAAGCTCCTGACAGAAGGTAGGCACATGCAGATGAAACGATGAGGGAAATGGGAAGTGTAAAGGCAGGATGAACTGTGAAGCTTTCAGCACTTTCAAAGTGCCCTCCCTCAATGGCATCAATACTGGTGGATGCTCTGCCCTCCACACTGTCTCAGGCTGTTAAACTTCAGCCATAAATCACTATTTTAAGTCCAAAAATTTTAGTTGGAAGTATTTCAAACTCTGGGAGTTGATACTACGTCCATTAGGTCTGAGATGGTTCAGTAGGTGGAAACTGAGACATACTCAGATTACCCAAACAGGCAAACAGCACTGCAGAGAAATGTGGAATAAACTGGAGACTGCATACTAGAGCAAAGGAGAAGATTATCCCCTTTTCAAATAAAACAGGAGTCTACTCTTTCCCTACTTGGTTAGTTATATGGGTGTAAACAAGTCAAAATACTGGAATTTCCTAATTACAAAATAATTACTGAAAGCAAGCACTTAATCCCATGACAACTGAATCCCTTTGCTTCTTGCCTCTCCCCTTGCTCTTGGAGTGGTGGAGTACAGCTCAAAATTCCTCTGTGTGCTGAGGCAGGGAGTCTGCACAGCACACACCCACACGTGGTGTGGTCAGAGCACCGGGTGCTGAGATCCCTCACCTCCAGTGCTGCAGGAAGCAGAGCTGCTTTGGAGGAGGGATTAAAACCAAAGCAAGAACCTCATTACAGCAGTGCCCACTGCTCCTGCTATTTTTAATGTGGTGGTGGCATTTTCATTATAAGCTCATACTTCCAGGTTTTATAATTCAATCTTAAAAAAAATTGCTGAGGGCTAAATATCGGCAGGCAGCTCTGCTTACCAAAGAAATGAAGAATTTTCACAGTGCAGAGAGAGGGAGAGAGGCTCTGTCTCTGCTTATTCCAGTGGGAAAGTGATTCCAACATGACCAGGGCTATACCAACACCGGAGCATCTGCCAGAAACTTTGCATGATATGCCAGAAGGCCCTGTAGCCACACACTAAAGCCACAGCCACAGTACATGGCACTTCAGTGGAGCCCACGAGATTAAATCAAAATGCCAGATTTCTACCCAGATTTCAGATATAGTACTTACTTCATGCCTTAGATCTATTTTGAACCACGAAAAACAACTTTATAACCCAGCACAGACCCCAGCTGATTGATGCTGCTGTATGGGCAGACGTGAATATTCAGCTCTGACATCCTGGTGCTATTTAACGGCACTGGTAGGAACCAGAGCCCAAAGCAGCAACCAGGCAAATCAACAAGGGCTCTGCCTCCAAGCTTTCCTGTGCCAGGTCTCTGCAACACTGCCTACCCTCACACAGCGCAGCTCTGGGGTCTGGGTTGCTGCACAAGAACCAAGAAGTGAGAAATAAGAAGCATTACTGAAGGTCTACATGCTCTTACATGAATGTATGCAGCTTTATTAAAAAGTTAGAGACAGATGGAATGGTCTCTGCTTTTTTCTTTCTCCCCCCCCCCTCCCCCTCCCAGGATAGTACCTGTAAAAATCTGTTTGAAAATGGAAGTATATGTACATGATAAACATATATATGTGACCACTGTGGCCTTCCTGTGGCATGAACACTGCATTGAAATAAAAATTGTAAAATGGAAATAGTGTCTAGGATAATTAGCAGAGAGACAGTACTAAAGAGTGTCACCATCTCACACCCATTCCCTCTTCTCTCACAGCTCAGTGACCTCACCTGCACAAATGGTTCTCATAAAGTTAACATTTTTAAGGCAGAACTATTTGGATGCACAGTTTCATATTCTTGTTTAAAATGTAAAATTAGAATTTATTGACAAAACAGCAAGTATTTACTAAGAATAATATTATTTTGTTAAGAAATGCGGACTATAATTTCATTCCAGAGTCTACCTCTTTAAAGATCTCAGTAGTGTATATACATGTCTTTGTTGTGTGATGCAATGGTTACCATGGAAATTTTTTTTTTTTTTTAAGTTTAGTGAAGATGGTGCAGTCAAAAACATAAATAGCCTGAGCCCCTGGCAGGGTAAACTGTACAATGGAATTCTAGAATAAATTTACATGGCTTTTTTTTTTTTTTTCTGAAAGCTGATATTAGAAACTAGTAATTCTTTGTGAAGAAAAATGCCTCCCTTTTCTTAAGACTGCAAGTATATTCAATTACAATTTTTAACTGTACTTGATCCGGCATGATATTAAATTCTGTAGCCCTTCATGTGCCCATAATCTACGGTTCCTCAAAGACAGTGAGCCAGGCTGGTGGGTGTGTGAGAGTTTCCTGCAGTGCTGCCTGGCTAAAAGGTTTTTAGGTTTTGCAGGAACACCACTAGAGAGATTTATACCATGATGTTTCTTAACAGCTTAGCTACCAAAATCAGAAATATATCCTGGAGTAACTGATTGAGCTGCAGATCTGTGGAGAACTCATATATATAGATGCTACCCTGGAAGCAAGGAAATTCGTTTGTATCTCGATTAAAAAAAGAAAGGCAATATTTTTAAAGCTAAAATTCCGGTATGCCAGAGTTGTTTGGTAGCAGAAGCGTTGCTTAAACTATGTAACATCCCTTCTCCAGCAATGGGCAAAACATGCTATCAGGAAAAATCCAAAGAATGGGATAAAGTAATGAAATACATCACCTGTGTGCTCCCCTATCCTCCAGTCCTTTGCAGTTCAGATATCCTGGGCCACACACAGTCTCAGCAACCTCAGTAGATTATTTTCCAGGAGTTTGTCCTTGAAGTCCAGTGACCTTTTGGTTTCCACAGCAGCCTGGGGCAAAAAGTCAGAGTTAAGCTACCAGACTGAGTTGTATCAACAATAGTCACCACCATATTGTAATAAATGTAATGCTGCTTTGATGGAAGGCTAAATGTTTAATTTTATAGTGATTCTGTGCCCAGAAGTAATGTGTGATATATGGTTAAAGGCAGTTTTAAGATGCTTGAGCAAGATGAACAGAGCGATTTAGTGAAAGGGCATTTTTAGTTCTGTAGTGTTTGGAGCTGTTGCATCTTGCCAGCTCCCTTCTTGAAGAAACCAGAAAGATAGCTATCAACAAAGCCAACAAGCTGAAACTGCTCTTTCTCTAGTGCTCCTGCTTTGTCATAGACAGAGATTACTACTTTGAATTTTGCATTGAAAGAATATCGCCTCATGTCCTGGTTTGCCTTCTACTGGGCAAACATATGGTTTCCCCACAATGATTTTAAACTCATTAGTTTAAACCTGGCAAAGCAACAAATGTTTAACTAGCCAACAAAAGTCACATTCCTGGAGGAATTTCTAATTAATATATCACAGAGTCCTTCACATCTCTTTTCACCTGGTACAAATTAGTGCAGCTCTGTTGATAAAAGGAAATGATGTCGTTTAGGACCACTTGAAAATCTGACACCTTCCAAATCCACAACAGGGCATGTTTATTACATAACTTGAAAGTAAGAAATCTTTTAATATTAAATAGCTGAATTTCTATGCAAACCATGTGAAATACTGAGAAACAGTAATTTTTTTTGTCTTTATAAAGTCTTTCTCCCTGATGGGTATGAAAGAGATTTTTTTGATGAAATGGACCAGCAAAGGAAAACTTACTATCCCCTGTTTTATGAGTAGAATAACACATTCCTTCCAACTGTCCTTAATAATTTATAAACAGCTATGATCTTAGGTTGTTCTGGTCATTCAAATCTATGATCAGAATAAAATTACTCTCAATGGAGAGAAAAAAATGCCTCTTCTCTGAAGCTTCATAAAGAGTGATAAGCATTCACTGGACCATAATTATGTCTTTCTATTTTTCTTATGTTGTTTCAAGTTGTTTTTTTTTTAATATCATCACTTTAATTAAGCTTTAATCTTCACAGCACTAAACTAAATTAAAAGGATCTTTATAGTGTTGCTTTGGTAACTAACAGAAGGGGTAAAATTACCTTATCTGTTTGTTCTCCATGTTGCAGCTGTAAACATCCCAGTTATGGTCTTTAATTTGCTCATTTTCACTACGAAAAAAAAAAAAAAAAGACGTGACACTGAAAACAGTTATCACTGTTGGAACAGTCCTCTAGCAGGATCTCACTGTGCTTGTCATGGACAAACATGTAGTTGGGAACTCTTTGCTTCAAGAGATTAAATACAAGCTAATTAGGCAAGACACAAAGCAGGCAGAGACAAGGGAAAGCAGCAGTATCCATCACAGGAATTCCCACCTTCTTGCCCTTCTGTCTAGTACCCTCTATTTCCTTCAGCAATCCACAACACATTAAAAGTTAAACATAAACTTCCTGTGATTTTCCCACGGCTTCTTGCAGATAATTAGCACCAGATCTTCATAATGCACCTGCCATGTACTCACCATGTCATTGTCCCATTTTATGTCTGGAAAATACCAAACAACAAATTGAGTTGCCCAAGATTATCAGCTAAACAGGATCCTACATTATAGCACTCTAACAGAAACATGCTGGCGATGTGAAAGCACACTCGACCTTGTACAGCTTGAACTGTGAGTTGTGGAATAGGTAAGAGGAAGAAGAAAATTGTCAGACCTTTCTTTTAAAGCTGAGATACCACTGATCAAAACAACAGCATGTCCTTGTCACCATTAAATAGAAAATAAGAATACTTCATAAGATTACTTCAAAAAAATCATACATTTATGTGATTTCAGAGATCTGCCTATTTCTCTTCTTGAACCTTCCTCTGCTTGATTGTTTCACCCTCATTAAATGACTGATGCTCACTTTCATTAACACTACAGATTCTGGCTACAGCAGCCTGAAAATGCAGCTTCTACCAGCCCTTGGGAACAGCCCTCTAGACTGAGGGTAAGTGAAGAGCCAGTGCACCCCACCAAAAGGCAGGGCCGATGTGTGTTCCAGCATCATCCAAAGGCACAGCAGGACCTTTCACACCTGTACAGATGAGCTGGTTCATAGGAAATGAACCAGCACTGATGCAAAGCTTTTTTTAGGTGAAGTTCATTTCTCGATCACTCTCTTTTGCTATGAATGGTACTTCTTGAACTAGATAGTTTTTTAGGGATACTGGATTATACTACAAAGTATTATATGTGAGTGACTGGCACAGGCTGCTCAGAGAAGCTCTGGCTCTCCCATCCCTGGAAGTGTTCAAGTCCAGGTTGGGTGGGGCTTGGAGCAACCTGGGCTAGTGGAAGGTGTCCCTGCCCGTGGCAGGGGTTTGGAACTAGGTGTGTAAGGCCCCTTCCAACCCAAACCACTCTATGATTCTATAAAAATCAAAAACTCTTGTGCCTACACAGCTGATTCCCAGCAGTTTCTGCTGCCAGCCCCTGGCAGCATTAGAACACAACCTTGAGCACAGTCAGAGCTACACATTCCACAGAGATTCAGCAAAATCCCATAAAGAGATTGACTTTGGAGTCATTTTGCCATTCAGTTTGACTGTCCATGTATTTTTCCAGTGTTCTCATTAAAACACTTCCAGCCTCAAGTCCATTATCATTGTAGCAGCTGGGGTCAAGTGTTGAAAGTTCCTTTATAAAAAAGAAAAAAAAAAAAAAGATATTAATTTAGCAAAAAGTGTTTAAAATGTGCCACACTTCACAACAAAGCTGTCCTACAGCTCTGACTGTAACTTGGTTTGAATTTTCAATTTATTTTCAATTTTCAGCTAAATAAACACAAAACATCAAAGCCAATAAAACTAAGGCAGATAATAAAGTGCTGTCAAGCTGTGATAAAGTCAGTCTTCACCAAAGATCCATCTTCTCCTACTGAGAGATCCTAAATTTAAGACTGAACTAAGAATGACAGAACAGGCAGCACTGAAAATCAAAAGTTTTCACTTGGTAAGATTTCTCTGTTTTCTGATTTTGATGGACAACAAAATGGTTGAAAGTTAAAACTCACTTTAAAACATGAGGAAAATGACAAAAAAATAGAAGATTCAAAATAAAAAACTAAGAACTGTCAACCACTGAATATATAAGGGAGAGGGGAAAAGACATTTTATTTCGCATCACCTTTTTTATATCCTGGAAAAACCTTTTTGCTCAAGTGATATCTTTGGCGTTCCTTCAGTAATCTGCAGAAAAACAGTTTCTTAAAGTAAGCTTAAATGTAGGCCTCATGACATAGCAATTGTGTATGACTAATTACAAAAAAGAAGTTCTATCATTCAATATTCACTGAGAGAATTTTCCCCAGAGTATTTACCCAACGTATCCTCCTTAGAATCATGTAAACAGATGAGCTGTATTGATCTCACTGAGAACAGCCTGAACCTTTTTCTTATATAACAGCTTTTTCTCCCCCAGGAATGTTTGAATGTAAGGAATATTTAAGTAGAACTTACGCAAAATCAAATTGTTCTGTTCCCCACACAAAGTATTTCAAAAAACTACCTGCCTCTGCAGTCATGCCATCGGCTGTTTGCTGATTGCTAATTGTTACCATCATTTTTATCACATAGGAAAAAGGAAAAACCCCTGAAAGTATCCTGTGAGCACTCCATCGTTGATCTCAGTGCATCAGGGTAAAGCAGCTGCCAGAAATCAGTCAGATCACT